GCCTTCCTGGATCCTTGCTCAACTGGATGTTTATTCAAGTAGGTAGAGATCTTTGTGAATTAAGACTTAAATCTTTAAATGTTAAAAACATCACTTAATTCACAGTTACAGATCAGCTACTCTTTGGTAAATCTGGCTAGCTTGCACTGTAACACTTCCCTCACAGGGAATAAACCCCTGCTTATCAAAATCATTGCTAAACAGGGCTGCCTCCAGTTCTGTGCTCCTCTCATGCCCTCCTGTGTACACATGTAGTAGGCCAAAGCAAAGTGCTAGAGAGCTGACATTTCTGCAAGGGGATAAAGTGAAGCGAAGAGTAGGCTGCAGCCCATTACACTGACCATGTTTTAGGCTGAATATAAGTAGATTTCTTAGAGCCTTTGCATCTTAGGGCCAGTCAGAAGCTCCAGATTGTGATAATAAGTGATTTGAGATACTCTGTAAATGAGATAACATTACTCATTTCTGTAAGTACAGGGAGAGAGAATAATTACATATTCTGATTTCTGCTTGATGCCCAGGTGGTTTAAAAGATAGTGTTACAGTCGTCCTTTGCATTATTTCAATGATACTTACGAAACTGCCTCTCTAGTCTGTTCAGACTACTGGCTGAAAGGACAGAAACACTAAAACTCTTTTCTTTTTGGCTATGAAGAAGCCCATTATTTGATTTTCCATTAGCTTATAAAAAGATATATTTACCCCAATACAGTAAGTCATTAAGTTCTGATGAAATCATAAAAACAACTTCCATCTTGCTTTTGTCTTGCATTGCTTCATTTTGTGATGCTGGGTCTATTTTTTTTGTTCAAATCAACAGCTTTATCATTCAGCCTGTCCTGCAAACCATGTGCCAGATCCAAAGCCTCACCAGAATGAGACTATAGGAAAAATGAGTTTGTCCATCTAAATTAGTAGTGTTTGTCCTGCAGCTCTCCTTATTGAAACATGAGAACTTTCAAAAACCTGTAAAGCAGTGAAGTTACCGTTATCTTTTATGAGACTTGTTGTCTGCATATAATAATTTTCTGGCTTTCATGCTGTAAAAAAATCTGCTGATGCCTGCACAGAGCTGAGCACATGTCGCGTCTGTGTGAGGAGGATATTACACAGAACTACTGGATGTTCCTATTAAGAAGCTCAGTAGCTCTTTGCATTTTTGTTCTTGTGTTTCAGGATGGACTGTAAATGTTTATACAGATAGTGCACTGTGGTTTTGATTTTATACTTTATTGCATGTTCTTGTGTCCTCATGAGCTGAGCTAGACTAGCAATAAAAAGCATGAGTCAAAGTCCACTTCTGAGCTTTTGCCTACAAGCCAGTTCTGATGGGGCCTTTTCATCAAACGTACTGGGAAAACTAGATAGATTTTTATTTCTCATACAATGTAGTTTGTTCAGTATGTTTTGCAAGAGAGAGAATACTGCTGCTTCATCATGTAGGTATTGTGTACCATAAGCCATAGTCTCGTACATTTTTCACTGAATATGCATTAGCACAAAATCCTCTGTATAACTTGCTCTAAAAACTAATTTTGCTTTGCTGTTAAATATTGAAAGGCTAAATATTGAAACAAATTTAAAAGTTCAGTTAGGCATCAATGCAGCCTATATATGGGCTATCTCGTAATTTTTCCTGATGTGGTGTTGCTATTCTGAATTTTTCACTAAAGATGAAGTTTTAAGTGAGAGCAACTTCTGTGGAGGGAGTTGGGATGTCAGGTGATAAATCCCATAATTCATCACCCCCAAGCCAAGATAGCCCCCAAGGAAAACAGAAGTGCCAAAACTCGTGGAAGGGCAGGGTGTGAGAGGCTGGTGCCCTGGAGTGCTGGCTCTGACTGTGGGGGAGCTTTGCCCTGCGCCCTGTTACAAAGCCTACGTGCTCTGCTATCCCACTCTGTGCCTTTGCCAGCTCCCCGCTGTGTCCCAGGACCCGGGCAGGCTCCCACCCATCCCCGGGTCTGCCAACAGCCCTCCCCTCTGCTCGGCACAAGGCTGCTCTCCCTGGAGGCAGCCCAGCTCCCAGCGAGTCAGAAACGAAGCGATGAGCGTTGTATAACAGCGTTGTGTAAGAGTGCCAGAGACATTGGGTGTTGCAGGTAGGGTTACAGGAGGGACTTGTGCAGATGAGCCAGGTTGCCCCATGGCCCTCCCTCTGCCTTTTAAAAGGAGATGGTCAAAGGACAGTCCAGCAAGGAGCTGGGTGGCTTGTCAGTGCTTCTGAAAGGTACAAAATCCCTTTGCCCAGCTGTTCCTGCCTTGAGAGACAGGAGACACCAGTGCTTGTCCCTCCTGTGCAGCTGCTTGTTGAGTGGCAAGGGAAGCCTGAGGCTTGCCGGGAAGTGTGCGGTTCATGGTACGGACAGGAACCAGGATTCAGACCACAAAATTACTGTGTCCCTAGCCTGGGGGAGACTGGCAGCCACCAGCTAAACCTGAAACACCAGAATAAGGTCAAAAACACCCTCGTCCTCTGAGCAGCGAACTCCTTTTATATAGGCATTGGTTAATCCAATGTTCGTGTGAAGGAGGAGGCACTTGGTGAGAGTGGGAGAATGCTTAACCACATTGATTAATGCTAATTGGTTAATCACCTTTCATTATGGAAAAAGCAAGTAGGTGCAGCAACTGGCAATATGGCTGAACAGTATTTCTGGACTGGAGACCAAAGCCTGAGAATTAATTCCAAATATCACCTTTCCAGGCCGGAGGAGCTAATGATCCCAAAGATGTCTTTTTTTTTCTTTTTTTTTTCTTTTTTTTTTTTTTTTTTTTTTTTTTTTTTTTTTTTTTTTTTTTTTTTTTTTTTTTTTTTTGTTTTCTTTTTTTTTTTCTTTTTTTTTCTTTTTTTTTTATTTGGGGCAGTACTGGGAATATTCTTTTCCTGGCACAGGGCTGTAGATCTGAAACATAGATCAGTATCAGAATGGAGTAAGCATTTTGCTACCTTTGTTGGAGGTATCCAATATGACTACCCTGTTTTAAAAAAAAAGAAAAATTTAAAAGTAGGATTGAACTCCAGTGATGGAGAAGGAGCACACCGTCCACTGTGCTGCCTCAGCTCTCCAGCAGGGAGGTCATGTGGGATGTAAGACAGCAGCCTCTGAATTAGTGCTGCATGCTCAGGGCTTGTGACTCAGAGCCATGAGACCTTGGGTAACTCTTTGTGGGCAAAGAAGTGCTCAACACAAAAAAGATAATCTAACGAAGCCTGTTCCCTGTTCCCTGTCGCATTAGCAAAGCTTAGCCTTAAAAATTCTGTCACTTCTGGCAAGAAAGAAACTTGCTCTGCAATGTCTGTGAAGACTCCCAGACATTATTGGCCTGATACAATGGAACCTCGTCTGTGACTCATCCTCCCCATTTGTGCCTGTTCATGTACTTTATAGTTATAGACTATAAAAAAGAACTTGATTTCCTCTAACATCTTCCACATCTGTGCCTTCAAAGAGGAACTTGCTGTAATTAATGTGGATGTCACTTACTCTTGCCCATGTAAAGCAGTAACTGTTCTGGGCCTTTAGTAGACAGTCAAGGTTTTGGGTACCAGCATGGAAAAATAGTTCTGTACTTCTACAGTGTTTCCATCCATGTGCCATATTCCATGAAAGGAAAGATAAGAAATTACTTCTGGCGTATAAAGTGTGGTATAAAAGCATCCTTTTGAAGACATCCCAGTACATTGGGAAAGATTATTAAAAGCACCATCAGCTACAAAGCAGGTATTACAAATGGCCTCAGTTACTGTGCATCTTCTGACAGTTGCTAAATTGACCTAGTGGAGATGCTAGATGGGCAAGATGCTGTACATTCACACAGCATCATCAAGACCTACTTCAAGAAACTTAGTTTCTAGGCAGGTATGAGTAAGAAAAAAGGATGCACACTCTCTATTTTAAACTGTGGAGCACAAGAAGACTGCCAAAGCAAGATATGTTAGCGTAATGCTTTAGACAAAAGACTATCTTTTCTTGCAGTCATTTTTGTAATGAGTTTTTTTGCACAAGTGGCAGCTGCCTTCGTGCCAAGTCCTGGTCTCATCAGGGAAAATGGCAAAACTCCCAGGATAGCTAGGATTTTTCTCTTCATACAGAATTTATTGAAGAACATTGTATTTCTCATTTTTCTATCCTCTTTAATAGATCAGTGCAAAAACAATAATTTTATGTTTAGTAACTAATTATTTACAGGAGGAGCAGACTTTTGTGTAAAACACTCAATTGTTTACTTCAAGAGCACTTGTGTGTCACTGAGTCACCAAACCACAATTAAATTCTGGGAAATTGCTTATTGTTGAGGTTCACGACGTTCCATGACGTGGGATGGGTCAGAGTCTGATTTTAATTGGAGGCCTGATCTAAATTTGTATCCTCTCAAATCATTTGATTGACAGACTGTGAACGATTTTGAAGTTCCACAAGATGTCAGTAGCAAAAAGAAAGACCTTGCGTTGTCGCCTCTGGTTGTGTTGTTTGTACATGGCAAATATCAAGTGGAGTATTTGCTCTTCCCTTAAGAGATTAAAGAGATTCTGTCTTTTCTAAGAGCCCAGACGGAGTCTTGGGTGGCTTTGCTTGGGAGAGAAGACAGTTAAAAACTCATTGTTACATGTATGCTGGAGGAGATTTTACTAGTTCACAGGTTCACAGAATGGTTAGGGTTGGAAGGGACCTCTGGAGATCATCTAGTCTAGGCAAGGCAGGGTCACTTATTGCAGGTTACACAGGAACATGTCCAGGTGGGTTTTAAATATCCTGGAGTCTCTGGAGTCTCCATGACCTCCCTGGGCAGCCTGTTCCAGTGCTCTGCCACCCTCAGTGTAAGGACATTCTTCCTCATGTTGAGCTTCTTGCCGTAAAATATGCAGTAGGGTTTGTACTGTGCTTGCTTTACCAATAGAGTGGACATTATGGGTTTGTTGGGGTTTTTTTTCCTGTTTCTTCTTGTTCTTCATTTGAGGGGGGGGAGGATATGTGTTTGGATTTTGTTGTGTTGAGGGATTATTTTTTTGTCCTGCATGGACAGGCAACTTAAGGCTAATGAACCACTGGAAAAATTGGGACTTAAGGACCTGATAAATGAGAAATCAGAAGAAAAACCTGAAAAGTTGTGACAAAGACAACTTCGTCCCTCACGTATGGAAAGCATAATTCTAAATGCCGTACACATTGTACATTCTGTTCATACCGCGATAGGAAGTGTTCTCTGAAGGAATCTTTTTTCCAAAGTTTAATCGTCCTAAAGTAAGCTATTTCTTTTTCTTTTCTTTTTTTTTTTTTAAGAGCAAAAGCGCTGGCTTTGCCTGTTTTGCTCAAGTATTTCTTGACTCCTTCGTTTGTCGTTTGGGGGTTTTTGTGGGTTGGGTTTTGTGAGGTTTTTTTTGGTTGGGTTTTATTTTGGT